TAACCCCAGGGAGGTACACCTATTCTTTTGTCATTTAAATGTTTTAAGTATTTTTAATTAATTTTTATACGTAAATATTAGCATTTTAGCTCAATAGCTTCTAGGTCATGTGATCTATACATAGTTCCCACAGACCAATGAATGTCACATGACCTCCTCGGAGACGCCATCTTTGATGGCACGCTGCTGTGTTTGTGCATTTCATTAAACAGAAGAATGAGAATAAATGTAGATATTCAAACGCAAATTGGAAAAAAAGGGCAACTTTTGAGCAAATAATTGTATATTAATACAATGGCACCACAGTTTAACGTGCTACGGACATGTTTTACATATTTGATCAAATTATGCAGCAAAAATTAACAAGCAATGCAAACATTTCTCAAAAACTTTAGATTTAATACCAGTTGGAGCTCCATTTAATTATTTTAATGATATTAACAATTAATTTAATTAATGCTAATGCCACACGGACACTCTGGATTGCTGTTATTGTTTATTTCCGCGTTTTTGACCGTATGTTTTGGTGAATGGTGGGCAACTGATTTTTCCAGGCGTAAAGAGCAGTTTATTTTATGACACAGATCTTTTTACAGAAGCAATGCTGTTTGTGAACATTGTTTTAGCCCACCATAGAACTATTATTATCTATTTAATACATTTACGTTGCCCTCGAGAGCCTCGGACGCGACACTGATCCTCCTCATAATAAAGTAATCTAAATAATGAAACTCTCAAGTTACCAGATATCAGCATACACAAGTTAGTACTGAGTAAATTACGTCTGTCAACACATTATAAGATACGATACGCACCTGACACAAAGTGCTCCGAGCATATTCTTGCGTGTTTTGAGGGAGTTTCTTGCCCGTTCCCCCCGTTTAACACAGGGGGAACGGTATCTGACGGGGGTTATTTGGCCATCAGATACCGTTTCCCCCGTTTAAAACTGAGGGAACGGTATCTGACGGGTGTTATTTGGCCATCAGGATGCGTTTCCCCCGTTTAACAGAGGGGGAACGGTATCTGACGGGGGTTATTTGGCCATCAGATACCGTTTCCCCCGTTTAAAACTGAGGGAACGGTATCTGACGGGGGTTATTTGGCCATCAGGATGCGTTTCCCCCCGTTTAACACAGGGGGAACGGTATCTGACGGGGGTAATTTGGCCATAAGGATGCGTTTCCCCTGTTTAACACTGAGGGAATACATGTATATATACACATGATAGATAAATGTATTTATATATATATATAGGCTATATATATATATATATATATATAGGCTATATATATATATATATATAGGCTATATATATATATATATATATATATATATATATATATATATATATATATATATATAATAGCCTATATATATATATAAATACATTTATCTATCATGTGTATATATACATACATACATACATACATACATACATACATACATACATACATACATACATACATACATACATACATACATACATACATACATACATACATACATTATTTATTTATTTGTCATATCATATTATATATATATATAGGCTATATTAATGTAAAGTTGTCATACCTGAAAAACCAAAACAGCACAAACGATATTTTTTCTGCACAAACCAGCACTAACGAGTGTGGCTATTTTTCACTGAGTTTTGCGTGGGGTAGGGGCCAACTTCACTCAGGTGCTTTCACTGTGTCTGTAGTTGCCTCGCCGCGCAAGCACGGCTCGCTGGTTACGAGTGCTGAACAAGCACGCGCACTATTTGCCGCGTGCGAGGCGCGGAGCGGGGCGGAGCGGCGAGTAGACGCAGGGGAAACAGTATCTGACGGGGAAACGCGGCTCGACGTAACACCTGTTCGGCAAATCCCCGTATGTAGTGACGTCATGTGGGAACTATGTATTGACTCCAAATTAGTCAGGATCTTAGTCCTCCACTAGCTGCAGGAGGTACACCTCTTCTTTTATCATTTAAGTTATTTAAGTATTTTCAATTAATTTAAATTTTAAAACCAAACCCTCAATAACAAAATACCAGCGTACATGTCTCCGTGTGTTTACCGTACTGTCTGTAGTACAGGTGCACTTAAATGTTGCGGCGGCTTTTGAGTCGCAATGTACTCAGAGCGAAGGATAGGTTTGCCGAGAGGGAAAGACCGTTGAATGTCTGTCGGATATCCAACTTCAAACTAACTTCACCGCGGTCACCTGCAGGAGGATAAGGCGAGGGACTCGTGCAATGAGACTTGTTGGTTGGCAGCTCTGATTGTCAGCCAGGAATTGATTAATAAAGGGGTAGAAAACGACATGATAACTGGCCACATTGATTGGTGCTGTCCTTCCTTAACATCAGAGAAACACACACATTTGTATCACTGTATTTGCAGACACCAGGGATGAGGAGGAATAAGCGGTTTGCATCTCACCTCACTGTTTAATCAATTTTTTCCGAAATTGAAACAGTATTGCACCACTAGAAACTTACCAGAACATGGCTGTCCACCTGAACCCAAATTAACTACCCGAACAAGGAGTACTTCTCACCAAGGCAACTCGAAGGATGATGCTGGAGGAGCTGCGAACTTCTGCAGCTGAGCAGGGGGCTCAGCAGTATCATGCTTTGGGGTTGCTTTTCTTCAGCAGGGATAGGGGAAAGCGTTGAAAATACAAAATACAGGATAATATTGTAATAAAAGCTCTTAAAGTCAGTAAAAAATATTATGGGCTTGTGTGGATGTTTACCTAACATGGGGCTATTTCCCTCAAAGAATAAAGACTTTTCATTCAAAACAAAACAGGAACGTTTTGGAAAGGCTCAGTCAAAGCCCAGACTTCGATCCAAACGCAAATCTGTGAAAACAGCTGTCCTTTTATTACACCTAGCCTGGCCTTAGCCATCCGTACACTCCGCTCAATCATCATTTCACTGCATGTAGCAAATGAAATTTGTACTAAGGTGTGGTACGACCAGGCTATTACCTGTTAATATAATAGATCCATGGCTATTACACCCCCAACATACGCTCTTTTCTCGCTCATGCATTTCCTGTATTAACTACATATAAATATCTTATCGTGAAAGTCTTAACCGGATGTTATTTCGCGGAGCCTCATCTCTCTTCATCTACAAAGAAATAGCCGCTGTTTTAAAGGGAAACCAAGGTTGCAGAGCTCTGTGTTTGGAGAAGCAGGCTCCAGGTACGTAACGTGATTATTACATCTGCAGACAGTGATTTCTGACATATCCCCCCGATTATACTCCGATATTCAACATTAATGACTTGGTCTTCTGGTCATATTGATGCGGGCAAGTGTCAAGTGGCGATAGCTGGAGAAGTGCAGCTCCCGGCTAGTTAGCACGAAGCTAACCCGGGTAACGGTTACCAACGGCTCCAGTTTAGACCGCTCGCTGGCCAGCTGCTGGGAATAACCTCAATTTATTATTACACCACCGTATCTTTACTAAATATTGGTGTCATGTCAACCCTGTAAAGAAATATTACGTATTTTTGAATGAATGACGTCGGGGTTAATGTGTGAATTTGTGCTTTCATAGTATTTAATGCTGCAAAAATATTACCTTTTGTGGTCATAATGGCCGGTTTGTATCTAAGGTGGCTGTCCTCTGCTCTATATGGCTTTAACACATATTTACAAAACAAACTAGATTGAGCAGCTTGAATTGACTCTTGAAGGTAACCAGTACCAGTGTTGATGTTCCTTATGTTTGATGTCAATTATACAACAGTGTTTTACAATACATTTTACCATTTCCCCTAAACGTAGATTAATAATGTATATATGCGTCTAAATCTGGTGAGCTTAGAACACTATAAGAGAGATAACCTGCCAACAAAAGCATACTCAAGGCTGTATTGTGTCTCCTTTTAAGATTAAAATGATAACAACTTGCAGATAATGTGTGTAAATGTGTCGTTGTCATTTTGACCCACAGTTTCTACACCTTTTCCTTCATAAGATGTCTGAAACATTAGAATAAAGCAAGCCGGAGCACAGCTGTTCTATTTTGTTACCAGATGAAAACCGTTTTATTAAGTGGGTTTTGTTCATTTTTTTAGCTATGATTATGCAGTACTTCAATACAGCCTCGTTTCCACCTTCTCTACTCAACTCTACTCCATTTCCACCGGCCCTGTTGAACCTGTGTCATGAACTTTTTTAGTACTTTGGCCCTAGCTCTATCCACCCCGAGCTGGTACTAAAGTGGTCTAACTGCCTGTGATTGAGTGGGAGCCATGTTTACCAAGGAATTCCCCTGAATGCTGGTTTGTTGTGGGTTGGTTGCTTGGATACGGTACTAAAGCATAACGGAAACACTAGCAGGATGTAGGGGTGTAACGATAGTTTTTAGAACGATATGTATCGATTATTGATTAAAAAAAACCTGATATCTTAATTTTTAAAACGATACAATTCGATGCGATACAGTAGATTTTGAACTATATATCGTTACAGTAATATTGGCTTTTTCTGTAAATAAACCTATTACAGTAGTTCAAACTTAGTAATCTAACTCAGATTTAAAGTGCTGAACAAGAAATAGGCAAGGCAAGTTTATTTATATAGCACAATTCAAACACAAGGCAATTCAAAGTGCTGAACAAAACAAGAAGGCATTAAAATCATAAATAATCACAGAACATTAAAAAGAAAGATAAAAATATAAAATCCCTCAGTTGTATGCACAGTTAAACAGAACTGTCTTTAACCTGGTTTTAAACATTGTCAGAGAGGAGGCCTGTCTCACATCTTCAGGAAGACTGTTCCAGATTTTAGCAGCATGAATCTGAAAAGCAGCCTCCCCATGTTTAGTTCTGACTCTGGGCACTAGCAGGAGTCCAGTCCCTGTGCTCTTCAGAGTCCGGGCTGGTTCATATGGGACTAACATGACACTAATATAGTTTGGTGCGAGGCCATGGAGAGATTTGTACACAAGCAGAGCTGTTTTAAAGTCTATTCTCTGAGCCACAGGAAGCCAGTGCAGGGACCTGAGAACTGGACTAATGTGGTCGTACTTCCTGGTTCTAGTCAGGACTCGAGCTGCTGCATTTTGAATGTACTGCAGCTGTTTTACAAATATAAAAAATGTTTTTAACAAATGTAACTAAAAAATATTTTGCCCAACCCTAACCCTAACTTATAAATAACTCGCATGAATAAAAAATAATAAAACAGATGTATAACAATGCAGTGCTTAACAAAGACTTTTTCCGCACCACCTAAGTGTTTAAAATAAAATAATATTTTTTTGTATTTCTATAGTGGTTAAATAAGAATGAATCTGAAGCTGGATTTGATGGAAATAATTCCAAGGACTATTTGGTTATTCCAATTGATTATTTTCTTAATGAATATTGATTACAAATTATACTGTTAATTTGAAGTTCTTGATATAGTATTACTAAAGTTCTTTATGTTGTCATGACAGGTGGTCCAAAACTTTTGTTGAGCAGTGAGCACTGTACATTCTAGTGCTACATATTGAAGCCTTTTGCTCGTATAGAACTTTGAAAATAGCAGCAACACCTTTTTGGTCTCCGCTCTTGCACCGCAGTTACTGTTTTTGGATGCTGTTCCCTCGGGCGACTCTTCTGCTTTGCCAGCGATGCCGTGGCGTCGGTACAGATGCGAAGAGAAGAGGAGCGTAGCGAGAAGAGTAGCTTCTCTTAGTAGTAATCGTTTTGTCAAGATTGCCAGTTTTTATTTTTTTTTTTTTTTACAAAACCCGAAGTATCTCCTGACTGACGACCGCTGCTACTATTATCCATGTTGTTGTGAGCTTGTGATGTAAATTTACAGCGCCGCTGCAAAGGCTTGTTGATGACACGGGCAAAAAACAAATTACATTTGTTTAGATTAACATTCAGACAACAAAGAATTTATCATTCCATTGCACGTTGTGACTATGATTTAATGTAGGAACTATATCGATACAATCGACATTTTTACATTTAAAACGATGTAGTGTCTGTGCAGCTAGGATCGAGGCCAAATAGCTGAGCGCCGATCGATGTAGCTGGATCGCAAGGGAGATACATCGATTTAAATAAATGTATCGTTACACCCCTACCAGGAAGAGTAGAGTAAGGCCAGTTAGGGCTGGTGGAAATGGGGCTTCATGTTACAGCAGAGAATTAAAATGAATCTATAATTTAATTTGCCGAATAATAATGTTTGAGTAAATTAGAGGGGTTTTAGCCTTGTTTTAAAACTGTTGCTAGGTAACATCCCCAGTGTGATGACAACAATAACAATCAGGAAATAAATGTATAATTAAAAAAAAATGGTCAAACTGTAATGAAATGTGGAAAATAGTTTGAAAAGACTCAAATGTAATTATGTTCACTGTATTTTGTGTAGAGTGAAGTCAAATGTGTTGTTGACAATCATTCTTCTATGGTCCCACACTACAACGCGGTTCACAGCAGGGTTTTGCAGCCGTTAAACATTCACTTATTGCGGGTTATTTTTTGCGATCAGCAAGGAACCACTGTACTTACAGATCTCCATCATAATTAACATTAGCATTTATAAATAAGGACATTCTTAAAACAAGTAGTTTATGATTGGGCATAATGTAAATATCCCTTGACTTATTAATTCGTCCAAAGCAGGGCTTTGTCGTGAGTATAATGATCTAGTGTCTGATCTTTTGCCGAGCTCAAATGTCCATTATGTGAGTCAGTTAAAGGTTTGTTTGTTGCCAGTGCAGATGGAGTAGTACTGGAGCAGATGGGGCGGTGACTCATTGTCTTTTGGAGTAGGGGGTCTCATAATGGCCGCTCTGTCCCAACAAGCTCCGAAAACCCTTCATCACACTAAAACACTTCCCCTGGAAATTACATCCTGTTTACACACTGTACCTTTGGCTCAGCCTTCAACGAGGCTTAAAGTGATTGTCTGGAGTTTGTCAGAAAAAAGAGAGAGAGGTACTTGATTTGGAAACAAAACGACGCAAGCTCCCTCCTCCTTCCTTTCTGATTGGTCCACATGTACGTTTCCGCAACACATTTAAATGTTAATCGGAAAATACATTATACATATACATTATTAATACACATGCACAGAGGTTTTCAGAATTATTTGTTAACGTTTTCATGAAAAAAATTATGTTTTAATGCACAAAAAAAGCGATTGCGGCAAACCCGGAAGTAGCTATTATCATGAATTGAACATTATAGGACACATCTGCAGAGGATCTGATTATGGATATAGGTTCAGTGTATATAAATGATTATGGATATAAGTTCAGTATATAAATGGGTAACTCAGCACGGATGTTTGGAATTCTTTGTTTAGTTTTCATGTAGTTTCAGAGCCTAAGAGGCTTGATTTGGAGGTTCAGCAAAAACAAACAGCATGCTCGCAGCTACGAGCATGAGCACGATGATTGACAGCCCTTGGCATCACTTTATTGGTTAACGTGGACGGCATCGTGGATTCTGAGCTATAGCTAAGAGAAGGGAAGGCGGGACTTACCCGTAATATTAGAATTAATAAAATGACTTATTTTATATCAACATTTAATGCCAGGAGGTCACTTTAATAGAATTCTTAAAATTTGTAATTCATTCAGAGGGTTAGGGTTAGGGTTCACTTACACTTTAAACCAATCAGCAACGATGGTCAATGATGATTGGTAAATTATACGCTGAAATGTTTGTCGGCTACTGCGCTGTTTTGATTTAATAAATATTTTTCTAGAACACATCAAGCAGCCGCAAGAGTCTAATTACTACCTTATTTATGTAACACAAATAATTAATGTTGTAATCATTTGATATAAACATGCAACTTATTACATCCAATCCAATGTAAAAATGGAGGCACTTACTAATAATGCATCAATATTTTTTATAACCCTGGGGACTCGCCCAAATACTCGTGACCCCCATTGCTGAGTATAATTTAGAGCAGTGATCGTTAAAAGTGTCAAAATAACATGCTAATCAATAGTGTACTCCATCAGCCACTGACTGGTTTCACTAGGATGGGTAAAGTGCAGAGAACAAATTTCCCTCAAAGTATAATAAAGTATATTTACTCCCTTACTTATAATTGAGTTATTTTTATGTTGTTTGACCTATTTTCACTTTAATTATAGTGTTCTGTGTCAAATAATTAGGGGATTATAAAACAGTTTAAAATTGTATGGTGATATGGCCCACACACCGGCCCAGTTTAGTGTCTCACTTTGAGAACCACTGGTATAACCATTCTTTAGTTCAGTATATTTTCAGATTACATGAACTGTGTGCATTAGGCTCCTTTGAATGTGAAACACTGTCTCTGCTCTTCAATATTTTCCGCTGTGTATTGCATCATGACTGGAGGACACATGTAACTGTACACTTGCCTTCTACAAAGACCTGACCTTGACCATGTCCTGGGTCTCTGGTCCTGAACAAAACCCCAAAGCTTCACTGTTTTCCAATGTGCTTGTCATTCATTGTTTTCTCCATGTGGGCGAGTGAAACAACCCATTCCCTTTAGTACACACTTACAAAATGATCATGCCCCCACTTGATTTACAGGGCCGGCCTTTACATAACAATAACTTGATACATTCAGCATTAGCTTGTTAATGTTCTACTGTGGCTTCACTGTATAAATTTGATGTGGTCATCTCAATTATAATAAAACCACATCGTTTTTAGACCGACCGGAGCGCCTGAAACGTCTCCTTGGTATAAACCACAATAAATATTTCCGCTGTACAAAATTAATTTGGGATCTGATGCTTTCCGTCTGAAAACATAAAACATAAAAGATTAAGATTAAGAGATCCTTTATTTGTCCCACAGTGGGATGAAAACATCTTTTTAATTTAATTCTGCAATATCTGCAAACATTATAGTCATAAAACCTCTTCCCAGTATGTTAAAATATATGTAAGGTTCAAATTATAATCAATTACTAAATTTATATATAAATAATCGGTTAGTTGCAATTAATGTTGCAGCCCTAATGTATTTAAGTTAATAAAGCGGCAGTAGAAAACATATATTTGACTCCCACTCACTCATAACTTCACTCTCAAATGTTTTGCTAATCTCAAAAAAATAAATATCCTTCTATTCTTTGCGCAGACGGATGCCTAATGCTGTGCTGTGCTCTTTGGTCAGTCTGATGCTGGACGCTGGGCCCCGTGGAGCAGAAGAGCAGCGCGGCTGGTCTCCCCTCTGTCCTCTCATGCCTCCCCCTGTGTGTTGGTAACCCCATCATACCCTTCCTCCACTGTCCCGCCACCCGTCCAATCCTCGTGTAGTGCCCCCTTGCTCCCACCCCATGCTCCGGACACAGTCTGCACACTGCCAGCCCAATGACTGCCTGGATCGTCCTGCCTGTCAGCCTGTCTGCCTTCTCCATCACAGGGATATGGATCGTGTAAGTCCAAAAAGATCAATGCCACATTCAATTAGTCGTGGATGTCTGGTATTTGCTTACTCAGAACTTTTGCAGTTCAAGTTTTCAGGGCTAAGTTTGAGGTAGCAGAACATGAGGAATATGATTTGTCATCACTTTTCAATATACACTTCCACTATATACAAAGAGTGTAGTAGCCTCAAATACTAGCGCTGTTTGTATATGTTCCAAGAAATTATTGGAACATATGTGCCTTTGGAAATCATCCAATATCACCTAAATGGTCAAAATAATGTGAATAGAAAATGATGTGAGAAGATGAATGTGGCTTGATATTCTATAATATACTTGATGAGAATTACTTTGCATTATTGAAAAGGTTTCATGTTTGACAACAATCATATGGCACACCCCCGGCTAAAACTGATACAATGAAAAAGGTGTTCTACAGCTCAAAAAGATTGGGTTTTTTCATTTCTTATCATTTTCTTGCACTTAGGCATGCATAATAGCACATGTTCTTTTCACTGTATGTGGGCCTACATCTTTACAAACTTAAGCTGAGGAGGCCTTTTCCTGCGTCCATAAATGTTGTTCTCTTCCTATATGGTACATGGTTTGACACAAAATATTTATATCTCAGTGGACATTGTCCTGCAATATGGTTTTAACTTTCTATAAAACCTTATTGCAGGACAAAGTTTTAGTAAAGATTAAAACTAAATGAAAATAATTAAAGTAAACCGTATATATGATTATGATGCATGATACATTGCCTCATGATACTGAGTTAAGTTACGTCCACAAACCAATGAATACGCATGAGAAAGGGGAGTCCACTGATTGTTACAAATAAAATACTACTTACTTATACTATGCTACTATACTTATTATGGGGATATTCTTGAAGACTGGTTGTGAAGCCTGATGTGTGGCGGACAGACTCTCAGGACTTCTTAAGTTCTAATTACTTCATGCTGTGCGGTCTCAGTCTGACTCACGCTTCCATGTTAGACATTTGCCTTTTTGCTTTGACTTATGCAGTGTTGTTCTCCCCTCAGTTACGCCATGGCTGTGATGAATCACCATGTTTGTCCTGTGGAAAACTGGTGAGTGTCTGATACCCTTTCTGAATTCTGTTGCAGTTGTAGATGCATATTAAAACATATGTTTTAACATAGCTGGATTCACTTGGAGACCTCTGCTCAGGCACAGGTCTATATCATCAAATAAAAAGTCCAAATCTGTACCTTCAAATTAGTGCCACATTTATTTGACCATGTCTGAAGGAAGATGACATTTTGATGCACGAGGAGTTGGTAGGCAAAAAAGGGAGGTAGCCGGTCTACTCCCCCACTATTAGAAGCATGTCTGAAGACCAGTGGTGGTTTAGATTCAGGCTAACTCTAGTTTAGGTCTTGTGAGGTGAACACCATAAAGAATGGTGAAATAATCAATCATCACTGCAACTGTGAAGCCGAGTAAGTCTTAATAGATTAGTGTTATTTTCTCATTTTTGGATATACAACGTAAAGGCTATCAGACTGCAAAAACTTTATGATGTGTCCCAGCTTTAATATCCTGATGGCTGGAAACCTTCCTTTTTGGTGGGAATTCTAAAAATCCTTTTTATCAGGCCATTCAATTAACGAAACCTTAAGATTTGAACCACCTCAAAAGGTGCAAAACGTGAAACCTAGACATCATAAAATTATCCTCCTACAGGTCAGCCAATGTCTTGATTGTTTATCCTTTTATAAACTAAAAGAGAATTTGTGATCCAAAGGTCTTACAATGTAACATGCCAAGAGGAGCTGCCCCGGCCCGGCTTTCCCAAAACATGCTGCACCCCCCAGGACATACCCCTCATCAGGTTTGTTATACATATTATTATTATTATTATTAATTTGAATTCTTATTTCGAACACAAACATCCCTGGGTCCCCTGGGTTTCTTTCTCCTAAATGCAGCCTGAAGTGGCCAATGCCTCTCAGCACAGTATTTAGCATTCTCAACCCACATTTGCATATGCTGTATTTGTTTAATCTGCAAATCAGCCCCCAGCTACTTTAAAGTGCAGAATAGCTCTTGTGCAAAAGTGTCATGAGAATTTATTAATTTTAAACAAATAAAAGTTTAAATGGAAGTGCAAAGTCGCCCCCACATGGCAGTACAGAGGCTATGGAAGTCAAATTCACATGTCAAATCCCCTCCAGTCTTGAAAACCAAAACATTTAAGTGACTAGCTATGTGACAACTCTCATCCACAGCACGGTTGTTTTCCGCCCGACAGTTTTAACACTGTATACCGCAAAATGTGTCAATAGTTTTTCATAATTTCAAGTGTGTAGCATTATTAAAAGAGGTAGACTTCGCACATCTCTTCTCTAACAGGTGCGTAGGAGTGGGCGCGCACTAGGTGGCCAAATATATATTTTATTTTATAATATTTTGCCTGAGGAAGGCCTGTGGCCGAAACGTTGCTAATAAACCACTGGTGTTTGCAAGTTGGACAGTGTGCGGGTGTCATCCTTTCTTTCAAGTGTGTAGCATTGAAATGACACGTGGGATCAAGTTGGCAGTGTTCATTAGTCCTTATTGTTTCACTGTACAACAAACAATAAGGACTAACGAACACTGCCAACTTGATCCCACGTGTCATGCATCATTGCAATATATCAGAATGTGCAATATACTGCTGCTAATGTACAGATGTAAACGTACTGCTGCTAATGTACAGATGTAAACATACTGCTGCTAATGCTAATGTACAGATGTAAACGTACTGCTGCTAATGTACAGATGTACACATACTGCTGCTAATGTACAGATGTAAACATACTGCTGCTAATGTACAGATGTACACATACTGCTGCTAATGTACAGATGTACACATACTGCTGCTAATGTACAGATGTACACATACTGCTGCTAATGTACAGATGTACACATACTGCTGCTAATGTACAGATGTAAACATACTGCTGCTAATGTACAGATGTACACATACTGCTGCTAATGTACAGATGTACACATACTGCTGCTAATGTACAGATGCTAACATATAACTACACTTTGCTTGCACTAGAATACACAGTACTTTATACTTGCCTCTTATTGCCAAATGTAAAACTTTTACACCTCTTTTATTATTTTCAAGATAAAGATTTTATACTTGTTATTTGATGTTAGAGGTAGAGTTTTTGTTTCATTTTACTAGTACAGCTATTGTTCCCTTAATTTGTGCCTTGTGCTCCTCAAATCCTACTGTTCTATAACTTGTGATGCAACACTGAAATTTCCCCAGTGTGGGACGAATAAAGGATCTCTTAATCTTAATCGTATAAATCTACAAAGGTTGTGGTTATGACAGCTAGCCAGCTAATGTATTTTAATTTTTTCTACTTCTGGATCCCGGGAGATGGGCGGGAACTTTACAATGCCATATGATTTATTGCTGGATCGCACATATTTACACATCACTTGAAATGCTGTGATACAGTTTAAAGTTTATATTGCAGTCATCTGTCATTGGTTAATTTATTTATTTCAAGCTTATAAACAGGAATCAAGTGTGGTAAATTACAGCGTTTACGTATCATACATACGTAAACGCTGTGTACAAACTCTGACACAAACATATATTTATAAATGTCAACAATCTATTGTCTATTATTATGCTGCCTTAAACTAACCTTTTCAACCAAATGCACCAAGTACCCCCATATGCTTCAAGTTAAATATTCACTTAATCCAGCAGAGAGCTACAGAAACAGATGGGTTTCAGAATAGGATTGTGTTAAGAGGGCATGAGTTAATCTTCCACTATTTTAATACTGTCTGCTGTCTTTCTTGCAGTAAATGTGGTTCGTTCCCTCCTGAAAGCTGCCTGTTCAGTCTGATCGGGAACGTGGGCGCCTTCATGGGTAAGGCATGTTATGTGACTAGGATTGTGACATTTCCACAGTACGATAAGGGGTTGTTTTTTTTTTTTTTTTCTCAATTCCTCAATGTGATGTGCAATAGTTACATCTGTGCTAAAAGCAGAACCTTCCAAACTCTGGAGCAAACACAAGTGACTGATCGTACATGGTTCAGACTACAGTGGACATTCTCCAGACTGATGAACATAGCTGTTGCTTGTGTTAATAGTACCGTAGAGAATCCGAAATGGCTGTGCTGTTTGCGGTATTAAGGATGTAGTTTAATTCACATTTCAACCGATCTCAAATCCCAAACAAGCTCTCATCTCAAATATAAAAAGGTCTATGAATTGAATTAGTTTGAATGAATAAAATGCACATGTTATTAAGTTATTCATGGTAATGGCAAAGGAATTATTATTAAAAAGGGGAACCTGTAATTTTGAAGACCTCATGGTTAAAATCAGTGCAAGCGTTTAGGGCAGGTGATACCGATGAGTTTTGAGGTATGTTCCACTGACCCCGGAGCAGTGCGAGTCTGTATGTGGAAAGTTTCTGCATAGGGTCTATTTTTGCCGGACTCTGCAGCGGTCTGGTCTGGTTTGGTCTTGTGGAAATGCAACTGGTGTTCTCACGTTGACCCCATGAACCCGCGCACCTTCGGGGCAGTTGACCCACGTCAGTGGAACATGCAGACAGCGGTCAACCTGATCAAGGAAGGGTACTACAACTTATAACAACTAAACCATGAATTTTCCAATATACAGTATTTACCTAAGGACAGAGGAATGCTGTTGCTCTGAATCGACGCCTGCTGGGCTGTGGGTACAGACAAGTTAAACACAATGGATTTGACCAAAGAAACTGGCAACCAAAGCAAGAGGTTCATTCTGCTTTCTGATCGGATCCTCTGCTCACAATAAGAACCATTAATGTGAAGTTGACATAAATATTGTAGCCATCATTATTATGAATTAATCCACATTCAAATTTGGATTAGAAATGACCAAATATGATTAAGGTGCTTTGAGACTTGGGTGGCAGTGACCCAGAAATGGTATAATAAAGGGGATGAAAACTATGATTTTAGACACATGTTGACCTTGGTTCTGAAGACAGATAAAATTGTAGATGTCTGTTTAAAATTAGTCTTTTATACTGTTCTGAAAAATACGCAACAGTGACTTTCCGTTCCTATTCACATATTCGCCTTGACCGGAGTGTAACAGTAGCAGTGTAGTAAGGTAAAACCCATGTTTGGCGTTATTAATTCTCTCCGGTGCTGCCGACGTCAGGCTGAAACACAGAAATAGCCCGGTCTCTCTAATCAATAATGAATGCAGTTCTCCTCCCTCTTCCCCCCTTGTCCTCTCCGTGTCTCCTCCGCGGCCTCCCTCCATCACTCCTCGTGCTTTTTTCACCTTCAGCTCTGCCACGTTTCCCCAGTTGTAATTAAGCTGCAGAGGAAAAGCAGAAGCAGCACAAGTGTATTTACCAGAGCTGTTTGTTGTCCAGTTAGCATTGGACCTTTTAGACTCTGTCGTTAAAGCTCAGAGAATGTATTGCTTTTTAGGGAGGATTTTCATAGGTTTGCAAATTCAGGGTCATAACATAGTTGTATTGAGTTCTTCCGTTATAAATGGGGTTAATGTTTAAGGAAGATACATGGTCATTCTGGAGCAGTACTTGACTAGTAAATGTTCTGGATGGTCTAGGGTGAGTGCTCTAGGTTGGCACACTGACAGAAGTGAGGCAACCAGTATGTGCCACTGGCCTCTCCAACCAATCGCACACACCAGACTTTTTGTAGGCAATGTGGGTGAAGACCTCATTTTCCAGTTTCTTTGTCGTGTTTGTGTGTTTGTAGCTCACGCCTCCACATGGGTCTGTTTTTCAGTGGTCATGGTGTGCCTTCTGCGATACGCCCAGATCATCGAGCACAGCCACAGATGTTGGGTAAACACCAGTGCACTCGTGTCCGGCTGCACCAACGCAGTCGGCCTCGTCATGGTCGGCAACTTTCAGGTAAAACCGTCTCTTCTTCTTAAAGTCTTCATTCTGGAGACAGAGCACATATGATGAGTCTGCTGTTTGTTGAAGTGTTCATACCAGCATGATTCAGCTGCTCCTGTGATCTGGGTCTGTAGGTGGACCATGCCAAGTCCCTGCACTACGTGGGGGCAGGCGTGGCGTTCCCGGCTGGGCTGCTGTTTGTGTGTCTCCAGTGTGTGCTGACGTATCGAGTGGCCATGACTGCGCTGGATTACTGGATGGCTCACTTGAGAGTGGCACTGGCGATAGGAGCCATGGTCTCTCTTGTGCTGAGTATCCTTTTGACGGCTGTAGTAAAGTGCAGCGTGTCCTCTCCTGCTTCAGCGAGGTGGCATCAGTGTGAAACATGGGCAGGGCTTCATGAGGAGTTGGTTACACCTGTGACCCTCTTTATAAAGACCGGTATTTTACATGCAAATCGGTCCATTTATTGACTCATATTTTTGTAAACTTTTCTTAAGTGTAGTTATAGTTTTCAGCTAAGATTTTTTAAGCATACAGATTTGAGTTGCTTTATCACTATGGAAAGAATAATATAGAATATTATATATGTGCATATTTATTAAAAAGGTAATACATAGCTCAATTCAAGGCCCCTGCAGTGTACAGTGGTTCAAAATTATTTTTAAAGTCAGTTTTATATTCTTTCAGTTCCTGTCCCTAAAAATCATGGAACAAGTTTATTTAATCACACTTGCATTTTCAGAATGCCAGTGAATGATCTATGAATAGCTGCATGACTTCTCCATCACTTACCTCAGATAAACTTTGTGACCCTCCTTCAGTGATGTTCTATTGTCCAACAGCTGTATGTTCCCTAACCCAGGCGTTCTCAGGCGGCATGTTTTTCATCCACGAGAGCTTCGTCCTGCAGCACGCTGCTGCCATCTGTGAGTGGGTCTTTACTGTGGACATCCTAGTCTTCTACGGGACCTTCACATATGAGTTTGGTACCGTCACTAGTGAGACCCTCATGACCGGTCTTCAGCAGACCCACCACCATAGTCCAGGCGTCATGATGGGCCCTGGGTCCAGAGGCGCCATGGGAGGGGCCACCAAAGGTCTCAAGTCCCCTGGGGGCAGCAGCACATCCACACATCTCAACTGTACTCCTGAAAGCATAGCCATGTTGTAGCTCGGCGCTGCAGATGTGAAGTAATAATCTATAGCCGATAATGTGTATCTACCGCCCTCTAGTGTTGGCCAACGACATTCAGTCTTGCCACTGCTCTGAATGTTTGCAGCCAAAGTTGAAAAGTTTAAGTTCATATCAAGGCCTGTTACGATAACTCATTTTGTTGCACCAAACCTGGTTAATGAACATATTGAATCTTATTGATAAATGAAACTGGGCTCTCTCTCCCCATTGGTTCAACTATTCCCCTTGAGCAAGTCTTACAGGTGGTGATTAGGTTAAGGAGAGGGATAGTATTATTGTTTAAAAAGAAAAAAACTACCCTTACTTACAGTATTGGAACAGGTGGTCCAAAATATGCACTTTTTTAAAAGAAAATGCATTTGAAGTTACTGACGGCATAATACCAACAATAGCAGAGAAGATTCCCAGCTAAATGTACATAGATATTAAACATTTGGCATTTTTAAATGGCCTAAACTGCAACAAAAACATATTATACGCCTTAAAACATACTTACTCAACCTCACAAGTCTTTCCCCACTGCAAACAAAATGTCCACACAGATTGTTCTATAAATGACATAATATGTGTTTGTAGTATCCTAACAGGCCTGTTATTACCCATGGAGTAAGGTATTGTTGTCGCACGAGAAGGAAACCGTCATGTCCTGGCATTCAACCGAATGTGCGGCGCTAACCTGCTACATGACTTCTCATGAATGATTTTATAAAGTACAAGTCTCCACTTTCTAAATTGTTACTGACGTGGGTGCAAATATGACATTCCCTATAGCTTGGCCCACCTCTTGTTTTTGGCCTTTTGCTTACTGCTGCACGGCACACTTTTATGAATGAAGACTTCTGAGTTTTTGTAGTGAGTAGAGTTGAATGTGTGTTCAGTCCATAGTTATTTTTTGTCATAAGTACGCTGTTGTCTTTCAGCCACAACCAATCACTCAACAAATGTCACTTCATTTGGTTTGTACACATTTAATGCCTGATTACCGCTGAATTATTATGCCATTTTATAAGATTAACCTACAATGAGCTTCCTCTTCATAATTTTACAATTAAGGAGCTTGAAATTTACAAATCATTTCTGGTGTAAAGTTTGACTTTTGCATTTGGATCACTTTTTTAAGAACCCAAATGCTGTTCCAGTGCTAATGCATGCTTTCTCAAGTCCACTGAGTCACACTCGGTGCAATAATCTCTCAGATTTGTGGCTTTAGTTTCCACAGGAGAAGAGGACATTGCCTTTTTTATGTTATTCGAAATGACCTCCACTGAAAACAATTGAACATTGTGTTTGTAGTATTCCAGGCTGGATCCTCGGAAAACTTTAATTTTCAAAGCTACAAACTTGTGTAACTCATTAGAATTTTTCTGCCATTTTGTTTAAGGCAAAGTCACAATTATACAAATCTTTTTCTTATTTACTGTCCTAACTTTGTATCCACCGTTTCAACTCATCTTGGATGTGCTAATCCTCCCCTCACACTACATTGAGACCTGGGAATGATTTAGACCAGTGGTTCCAAAATAGTTTTGGTTCATTTGCTCAAATGTCAATACACAAAACAGTAAAAATAGTTTAACATTCAAACTTATTTCATATCTTAAACAACTTCAAGAGGCAAATTCCTTCAACATGTTCGCAGCAATATAAGCCTTCCATTTTAAAGCACGGATGCCAAACTCATTTTGGTCTGGTACCAAATAATTATTTTATTATCATGGAGGTTTTTGGACCAAAGAATTACTTTATTTTTAGGTGTATTTTTCTGACATAATACATGTATGCCTTGATTGGAACAAACCAGTAAAGACTTAATTGACTGATGCACATGTTTTATCTTTTTATTAAACTATTAACTATAATAAATGTGGTTGTTTTCTTGAGAAATTTGGCTTTAAAAGTATGTTTAAAAATGTCGTGGTTGCTTAATTTAAAATAATGTCAACTAAACTAAAATAGCCTCTTTGCATATTTGACGCTGCTTGAAGGCCTTGAACTGTCTGAGATCCCTGTTTAATTAGACCTGGAAGAGATCATTTTGACTTTTAAATTAACTCCAGGTTTGTAATTAGTGTTGAAATTTGACTTAATACACTAAAATTTTATATGAAATGTCTAACTATAAACATAGAAAAGTAAATAAAACATATTACCCATTAACTTATTTATATCTAATATTTGTATTCAGGCTGAATTTTTTTTAAAGTCAGGTTTTTGAGAACCACTGGTCTACGTGATGACAAAGACACTATGATGCCAGCAATAGTTGTGTTGCCTACCTCTCATTTAATTTGGATTGTTATGTCAAGGTCTACGTTCACCAAAGGGGGCAGCATTGAGTACAATGGAGGATTTACAGTGAGTGAGAGATGGAAGTTAGATGGAACAAATTTTTCATCCAAATATTTTTCTTGAAGCAAAAAGTGTATACATTGTACATCCGTTGCCAAAAACGTCCTGGTCTTGTGTTTCAGCCTTACACATGTGGTGCTGGGAGAATGTTAACATGTTTTTTAAAAGTTATTTGAGTTTTGTCTAGTTTAGCACACTGTTGTCCAAACTTTGAAATGGCAGCTTGAATGAACCAAGTTTCAGCAACAGGCCAAACTCCTTTTCCATGTCATGTGTTACTCTTTCCAGCTCTGTCCTTTTCAATGCAAAGTCACATCAACTGTATATGAACCACTGAATTATGGAGCAGTGGGAAATATCCCTCTTACCTGGATAATTCATCTTTTATAAATTGTGTAAATATGTATGATTTGTCTATCATTTAGGTATTTTGATTTGAAAGAGATTTATATTCAAATAAACTAAATAAAAAAATACAAATTATTAGCAGACATCAATGTGGGTTCTTATTTGCATTCACAATACATTTTATATTCATGTTTATTTGAAAAGCAGAATAACAAGTGTTTATATATAAAGACAAGTAGCATTTCAACTCTCAAATCATTTCAATATTAAGTGTGTATTTAAAATATTTCTGCAATATAACAACCAGCCATCACACACATAATTTATTACAGGACAAGTAATCATTTGATTGTTTTATGTCTCATTTGTATAAAAAGTCTTAATTTAAAAAAAGATGCTCGCGTCTCCAGCCTCAGGTCAAGTGTACATGGCTCCGTGAAGGTCCTCCAATCTGTGCTCTCTCTGTCGTCTCCTCTCCTACACAACATGCACATAAATGAACATGAAAGTGGACTGGACCCTGGCTCCACGCTCTCCTCACCTTGTCTTTTTTGAACTCCTCGTAGTCCGGGTCGTCGGTCGGCAGTTCATGACGACAAAGTGGACATGAGTTTGTCTGAAAGTGCATTTGTGCATATTTCACATTGTTTACTTTATTTTATTTCAATTCAAACTACAATTATGATCTATTATTTGTTCTGGACTTTTACTTTTTCACATTTTATAGATACATAGATACAAATGTATAACGGGTGAAGAAAGGACCTTGAGAACTGAAAAACTTTCATCAGTGGCAGATGTGCAACATTGTGTGGCATTATGCTATTTTAGTAAACACCAAACTTTTCCAAACTAAATTGGAGGCAATGTTTTTATACGACAGACACCAGCTTGGTCCAACATGGTTAAACACTTCACAGGCCTAAGTGTCTTATAATGGTTTGAGACGTGATGTCACCAGGTGTTTAAAACAGTTGAAATCACTCTTTATTAATAACATTTTACTTATGCCATACCGGCATTATATCCTTGAGTCACTAGAGTCTTAACAAACATTTACTCACAATTAGTGTTAGAAAAAATGCATCCAGCATCTATTTTTTCCTCTCAGCTGTTCTGAAGCGTATGTTTGTGTGGGAGCCAGTGGAGAGGGTAAGCCAATACCTTCTTTAACCAGGGAAGTATGCAGCCTGCGTGGAAGAGGTGTTTGCAAGGCATTTCCCGAACCGACTCCTGTTCCTCAAACTCCAGCAAACAAACCGGACACTTTAGACCTTTATCTGGAACAAAGAGGAACATTCATTATTCAAATCTTGGTTTACAATTTCCCCTAGAGAAGAAATCACATTACAGATACATTTATACAGTGCTTTTCTAACTTTCAATCAATCAAAATGATAAAATGATACTCATTCAGTATAAAAAGTTTTTAAAGCATAAAGAAGGAACAAACTGAATCTAATTATCTATTAATACAGGCTGCAAAGTGAAAATGAATAGAAAGCAGAAGTGGGAAATAACATCTTTAAAAGTGCTAGTTTTTTAGTACTTTTTTAATACTTACAAAAAAGTAAAATTTACATAAATGTCCTGATCCTGTCTAGAAATGTATAAAATAAGGTCCCTTCTGTTGACCAAAATCATCACGTTTCTACTTTTTATGTAAGTCATAAACAACGACTTAATGTCAATGATAAGTTTATGTGCTTTACTGACTGATAATAATAGTTGGTATTTGAAACCATATTTGTAATTTTACACACAATTCAGTAAGTGAGTAATCTTAATTTATTGTACCTAGCACCTTTCACGGACCAGAGTCACAAAGCGCCTCTCACTCCACAACGACATGGAGAGATCAGGAGGTGCATGCCAAACCTATTGTACATGTTACTGTATTACTGGTAGAGGAAACCTATGCAGACACGAGGAGAGCATGCAAACTCAAACGCCCTGTTCCGACTGGGATTTGAACCTAGGACCTTAGTGCTATCCACTCAAGTCATGTACTTCTTCCACCGACTGAGGCCACACAGCTATAGAGATAATGGACAAAGGCTGGAATAGTGTGTTTGTGAATTACCTGCTTGTTCTGGGGAAATGACAACAATAGGTAGAGTTTGAACAGCAGCTTTAGCAGCAGGAGGAGGAAGTCGCTGCTCCCAATCTGTCAAGTCAAAACCAGCATCAAGTAAATCCACTCCTTGCATCAAGGACCTGAAACATGAAATAAATGTATTACATAATGTTCATCGTTCTACATTCATGGTTTCACATACGCACCTGGCCAGCTCAAGTAAAGCATTTTGACGATACTGTTCCTCTGGATTGGTGGGCTCACAGTTGTGTTCATCGAAATAGGAGGCCATTGTAATGGTTCGTCAGGCTTTGAACAAGAAAAAGTGTGAAATATGCAGTAATGTTTTACCCATAGTAGAAGTAGTTATAGCACAGAACTGAGGAACCAGATAGACAGTGATTGATAATAATGATAATAATACATTATAAAGCGCTTTTCAAAAACTCAAAGACGCTTCACAATTCAGGACACACACACATTTAACAGACACACAAAACTAAAAATCTAAAAGCAGGAAAGAAGAGTCCAAAGCTGAAACTAAGAGTCCAGACTATTGTTGCCTAGAAAACTCATATTAAAGCTGCACTCCAAACTTTCTAATCACACAAATTAAACTATGTAATACCTATAAGTATAGTTCCTGGCTCTAAAACGGTTTGGTTCTATAGTTACTTGTTCTCACGTCCACATAGATCAACTTTTTCATTGACAGAAAATTAAAAAAAGAGAGGCCCACCATCACTCAGCTAATCAGCCCAAAGCATCAAATAGTGACTTCCCTGGCTATTTCTAACAAGTATATTTTATAATAAGACAAATTATATTATATATGTTTTTTTTCTTTTTTTTTTACAAGACTCTGTTGGCCATAAAAATTTATGATTAATTAAAAGTAAAAATTTAAACCAGCTTGAATACAATCCATGTACCCTTCGATCATTAGTTATTCCGTTTCAAAATAAAATCAGAAAAACAAATTACGTGGTTGTTTTATTGTATTTCCATGGATTGAGCAGAGAGTACTGTTGTGTTAATGGGATTTTATATCAAGATACACCAATTGTTTGTAGACCATGTGGGGAGTTTAAGGGTAGCTACTTCATAAACTTTTATAACACGTTTTGTGAATTGTAGGGGGATGTGACTGTGACTGGACAAGCTAGAATTACCTGAAATTTGTGTTTTGCATTTTACCCGCGGCTTTACATTTTAATAATGAACAAACAGCATGAAAACAATGAAGTTCACAGTCAGGATCTGCCTTTCCTTGTTTTGTTGCGCCTGTTTCCGTCATTCTGAGATCGTCTTTAGTCAAAACGGACTTTGTTGTGGATGAAAATGAGAAAATATTATACAAATATTGAACATTAACAGAGAATATAGGCTTACCTTAGCTGCTCATCAAATATCAATAACACTGCAGTCACTCTTCCGGGTTGGCGTGGGGAGCTTGGACCAATCAGAGAAGCGCTTTTCCTCCAGGCAACTTCTCTATGTCGCCATCTACTGTTGTGGGTCTACACTGCACCAGGGGTCTATTAGGAAAGATTCTTAAGATGAGGGAGAACCTTTGTTCGTCCTATAGGCTGAATATTTACAGTGGGGGATTGTCATGGTTGCAACAGAAAACAAAGCACGTTAGACAAAGAGGAATACAAAAGGCAAAATAAATGTTTAAAAATACAAATTAAATATTAGCCATTTTGTTAAAAGGTTGAATATACCATGTGTTAGTATAAGGTGAAAGGTTAAGAAGCTAGGGTCAAAGTTAAGGAGAAAATTAAAAAGATAAATCCATCGAACATTGCATTACTACCCCCGGAGATCAGTGTGAGAAACCATTCACATATAGCTCGCTGTGGCTGTTCCTCAAATTAATACACTTAAGAGTATATCTTTACATTTACTTTTTACAGACGGGCTTGAAATATCTTTTAGCAGTTTACATCTACCCATTCAATTTTCTGTATCAATAATATTATAAATACAAAGTCACAAACTCAAATCCAAGAATCAAACATGCAATAACGCATAGGAGCCATTGGTCCATAAGGGGTAGGATGACCAATGTCCCTAAATGTCCTTGATCATAACTGTCCTAAGACCCTCCTGCATAGGCAAGGAACGACTCAAAAAAATGACATGAATAAAATGTACCTTAAACAACAAGTCGAGTTAATTGAATGGACAAAAACACATAATAATAGCAAAAACAGGATTTATTTGCATAAGTTGTGTAAAGGTGTGAAATCTTAATATACAGACCTATTAACAACTCCGACAAGAATTCAACCAAACATGTGTATGGCTTTGGTTAAAAAGCAACCCACAAAGACTTAAAGACTGCTGTTTCTGTCCGTTTAAATACAGTGAGGAAAAATAATAAGGCTCCAGAAGTCCCTGAAAATAAACAGGTCCAATATTGAATGCTTTGTTGGAGTAATAACAGACCCAGAGTTATACAGTAGACATTGCCCATACAAAGAAAATCAACCAAACATTTAATAACAAGGTCATCACACTAGATTTGATGCCTGCCTTTTGAACATACTCACAAAAAACTAAATAATTATAGAGATTTTCTTTAGTAACAATACATTACTAAATTTCCCAGTGTTGCTTGTTAGACATGGTAGTGATAAAATGGCACAATTGTATAAAAAAGCTGTCACACGTAGACCAGTGGAGTGCATAGCGTTATTAGAACATTGCCTGACTTTGATAACACTATACTTTGCCTAAAAGAGTGGTTCAGATAATGTTTATACACAGAAAAATGTAATTAAAAGTATAAAGCAGCTAGATCCATTTGTGTAACTTATAATCACAGTAAAACTTGAGATGCTGTCAAAGAGGAATGGTTTTGCAGATTCAACATTGAGTAAATATTCTGTAATACATCTACTGCAAAATACATGTTCTGGTATTTCATTTTTTAAGATAGATGTATACTGAGAAGGCCATATGTGATACAAAGATACAAACAAAGAGGTCTAAGCTTTTGCTCAATTCAAAACCAATGCTTCCTGACTGATTGAAGAGAAGCGCCTGTGCAAGAAAACACCAAAACTAGAGAAAGGAAAAACACAACAGGCTCTAAAAAGACACTCAACCAGTGAGCAATAACAAACACACACGTTTACAGTGTTTCACTGCCAAGTAAAAAGAATCAAAGACAACAACTCTGGGTCTCACATGTAGATGATAAAAATCTTGAAAATAGAAATCTCAAGTGTTGATTAAACACACAAGAACTCATCATTTACACTGCTTAATTTTGGCAACAGACAAATATTGTTACAAAGAATATAGTTTTCATCATTTTCCTTTTACATTGAGGGGTGTGTCAATAATAGTCAATAGCAAAGTTTTCAACAGTTTATTTGCAAATGGCAAATGAACTGAATCTGAATGTGAAGATGTCCACATTCTACAGATGAAGCAATGCTATGGGACCTGTATAAAAGGTGTTGGTGTAATTCTTTAGCTATTACTGATTGTTTTGTGGGAAACTTGACTTTTCCCCTCACATAATTCTCACATTATCATTCCAGAAACCTTTCTTTGACACCAGCCTCTCTAAATGCTCTTTCACTTTCCTCTCTCTAACTGAACAACTTGACGAAGCAACCGTGGCAGTATGGTTTGTCGTTCTGTTCTTTAAAGGTGCCTTTGTTGAGCTGTTTGAGGCAGAAGGCGCAGACAAAGTGCTCAGGGTGGAACTTCTTGGCCATCGCCGTGATGCAGCGTCCGGTGATGGGTTTCTGGCAGCCGGAGCAGAGAGAGCCGCGTCTCTCGTGGTAATGCACTTCACAGTACGGTTGGCCGTCGTGTTCAAAGAAACTGCCATTTATGAACGGCGTGAAGCACTCCTGGTCACACATAGGAAAAGCCAATCAATTTAAATATCTTAATTGAGGATGCCAAGATTACCAGTTTAATACAAAATTCATACTAATAATAATACTTTGATAAGTGCTTTAAGTACACAGTAGGTCTGACCATTATAATCATCTTAAAATAATATTTGTATTTCACGCAAAAGACAACATTTTGAGTGAAACTATACTAAAGCTACGGTAGCAAACTTTCTTTGCAGGGAGCTGATTGGGTGAGTAAGGTGGTAAAAATACATGTGAAAACTGGTGATAGAAATAAACTTTAGAGGAAGAGGAAGAAATGAGGAAGAAACTAGTGACGGGGAAGATTATTTTTGTCACAAAATGAGGTCTTTATATAATGTGCAAAAGATGGTTCAAGTAGTTATATCCTGCTTGACAACTTAACATTTAGAATTTGAGTTTATTTCATAAAGTTCCTCACATACAAACCTATGGAATTTGTGAAAAATTTACTCGGCATGGTGCCTTTCCTACATCACTACTCTTATAGCAAAATATGTGACCATGAAAGAATGCAAATTGACTCTTTGATCTGTTGTCAATGGTTATATATAATGACACAATAATTACCCTGCAGACAAAACATTCCGGATGCCAGAGACTGTTTAGAGCCGAAATGTAGTTCTCCAAAATGGCTCTAGCGCAGCCGCCACACTTGGGTGCAAACATGTCAAAGTAATCCTTCCTGCAATAGGCCTTTCCATCCTTTTCATGAAAACCTGAACAAAAACAGGAGATGGGGCGTCAAACATTGAGTCAAGAATATTTTTTTTCATGTTTAGGGAAAGTCTTGCACCTTCTGGGCCAAAGAAGGATCCACACTGGGCACAGAAGAAGTGTTCAGGATGCCATGTCCGATCCAGTGCCGTCACCACTTTCTACAAAGACACAAATATACGGTTAAAGCTGGTCCTGCACTAAACACTGTTATCAAAAAGTAGTGTGGAAAACTAAAACCATTATTATTACATCTTACTTTACTGTACATGTGGTTGGTACAAATAATTCTGAGCATGAAGACCTTGGGTGTGAGTACTATCAAAACTATACAACAAAGACATGATTTAATATTGATCTGAAATGGCTTTCTAGTAACTTGTTCATTACGTTCTGTTCATTAATTAAATGCAATTATCCAAATATCCATTACTTTTTCCTAAATATCCTCTATACGTTTGGACATGTGTAAGTGAAGGACGCAGCTGTGAGTTCACAAAATAATTTGAATGCAATACTTTCAAGGATGTTATCATGAATAGGGATTGAGATAATAGAATTTACAGCTGAAGGGCAGATAGAGATGTATGCACACACACACACACACACACACACACACACACACACACACACACACCTGCTAGTTGTGTAATTGCAGCAAAAGACAAGTCCAGGTCTGTTTTTGGTGATGAAACCGTATTGCAACATTATCAAAAACACCCTTTTACAATAGTATGTGTCATTGAAGTGAGGCTTACATCCAGGATCGGGCCGTTGCAGTAGTGGCAGCGAGGGGAGAACAGGTTGTGATAGTCCTTCTCGCAGTACGGCTGTCCTTCGCGCTCAAAGAAATTCCTGGAGCCAATTTCTTCTTGACAGTGTGTGCAGACGAAGTGCTCAGGGTGCCATGTGCGGCCCATCGCAGTCACCACCTACATGCAGAGGATAAATGTTTAATATCAGCAGGATTCACAGGAACCACAGCACATTATATATTGCTACAGAATATGCCATGGTTTAAAACAATCGAATTTTGAGGGAAAAAGGGTAACTAAGCGGTCTCACCTGTCCCACAATAGGTTTACAGCAGGCTCCACACACTCCTTTAGCTACAGTTTGAACTCCCAGTTTATTCAAGTCCGACTGCAGACTGCCCAGCATGTTGTCCAGCTTGTTCACTTGAGTCGGAGGTCCCCCCGGAGCCCCTTTGCCCTGGGCCATGATCTGAAATGTACAAACCAAGAAAGGTCACCTAATGTTTGTTATCATGACGTCAGGACCTTTTGTAGAAAGTGATTTGTGAAACAACACATCCACACATCAATTATTATCAGAATGGAATGATTAGAATTCAGGACAACGATAGTGAAGAAATTATTATAAAATATTTATTTACTCATTTGAGAGGATAAACCCCTTGAGATGCATCATCTCGTTTTCAAGAGGGTCCTCAAATACACATTAACACAAAAGTGTGTTTCAGAGGTCTAACCAGATGTGTCTGATTGCATCAGGATCGTTATACTGGAAAATATCATTAGCCAAGTTGAAATATAATTTCCATACGCCTTTCTGACAAATATAATGTAAGAATCACCAAATGATTGTAAATTGCTACCCCACTATAGATTGACATTGTTGTCTAATTGATTTGTTTTGCTCTTTACACCAACTTTTCATATTTAAAAACAACGACTTCTACATAAGTCTGGTCAATTAATTACATTTGTGTTCTTAAAATAAGACATGGAATATCTATGTAAATGTACTTTTTAATGAATGTATATGGTTAAAGCTGGGGCAAAAAACTTTGAAACCGCAAGAAATCAATAAATACATTTCCTTTAACTAGTCTATCACAAGTTTTTGGCCTCTGTCACTCAAGACTGCTTCCACACATGACATTGATCAACCTCTTTTAGCCTCATCGCCCTCCCAACTCTAACGTCATCTTGTAACCAACACATTCCCCGTCTTTGCTTCTTAAAATATTCATGCAATTTGTGAAAACCGAAAAGGTGCTGACGAGTGGTGGTGGGATCCATGCCTGCATTGGTGGGAAGACTGGGTCATACTCTGTCTGGCAGGCTACAGACACCAGGACTTTAGGCGGGTCCACAGGTGGGACAGGCAGCGGTGGTGGGGCAATGAAAACGGGGGGTGGTGGTTCTGGTTTGGGAGTGGGGGGCTCGGGTGGAGGGGCGGGCTTTTTCACAGCGCGTGGGGGACACGGAACAGGCTCTGGGAGGTGAGGCTGTGGAGGAGGAGAGGGCGGTGGAGGAGGAGGTGGAGGAGGAGGAATGGGAATACGCTGCACGGGGAGAGGCCTTTTCGGTTCCTCTGTGACAGGGGGGCGGCGTGGGGCGGGGGGAGAGAGCGGGGGAAGGACCTTACGGACCGGGACAGGCGACTCTGGGGGGATTATGATCTGAACAGGAGGAAAAGAAAAACAGAAGGACAGATAAAGAACAGTGAAAGTGAAAAGGTGGACATTTTTGGGGGCACACCACTGAGGCAAACCTTGTCGATGTCACTGTTTGCCCCCTCGGGTCGGAAACGCTGAGGTTTGGAGGTGATGACGACGCCCTCCGTGAGCCAGTCGTCGGCTTGTTTACGCCGGTTACGTTGCGCAAGACCAATCCCAAGTTTTCCCTGCAGCTCCTCAATGAGACGGTCCTGGGACGTGTTTTTGTTCACAAGGATGGGGCCCATTTTGCGGCGCAGGACTCCGTCTCTATACATGGGGTGCACATTTGGGGTCTCCTTGGTGCGTCGAATCACTGACTTTAACTGAGAGGAAACAGTGATTGTCTTATAGAAATGTCCAAACAGGAAGCAGGAACAAGCCAGGCTTCTTTGGCTGAAGGTGAGTGTCACAAACAAGGCCAAAAAAGCTGTCAGTGTGATCACATGCACACATGGCATTTGTTGTGGAAGCGTTGAATAATTCGGAATGATGTTTTAAGGGTCTTAAACATGCATAATGTTAATGCCAAGCATTCATGCCAAACTGAATGTTTTTTATTAATAATAATAAAATTAGTCTCCAACCTGTGCTTGTTGATAGCAAGAGCGCTGTTCATCCTTAAAATCTACAGTATTCATACATTTTTTCCCACCCAGTCAACTGATTTTACTTAGATCCAGTGAGCACCGCTAAGTTTTGTACTTGAGCATTGCACTTTAGATAAGATAATGAATATTAGTTCAAGATTGCCACACAAAAATATGTGCATCTCAAAGCAGTTTGTAGTTTTAGTTTAAATCAAAATCCCCACAAACCAGGCCATGCTGAGTGAGCATACATGTCCTGAGGCAGACACCCGGTCTATCGTTGGAGAGTGCATGAGAGGAAGGTCCAGTGCCACGTCTGGGGTCCCGGGACAGGAGGAGGGCGTCATGCACTCGTCCATCCAGCTGGCCTCAGTCAGGGGGGTCATGCTGCCGTCTGTGTAGGGTCTCTCTGTGTAAGGCGTCAGCGTTCCATCATGGAAGGACATGGAGAGGTCCTCATCGGCCCAGTCTAGCTCCCCATTCCCATCAACCGATTCATCTGTGATAGTGTTGGTGGTACTGGCAAAGGTGTCCGGCTGGAGACTATTTCTGTCAGTAGGTAGAACGAGTTCTTCATGGACCATTCCTGTTCCCAAACACTGGGCTTCCACTTTTAATTGAGGCTCTTCTGTATTGGTGTTGGTGAAGCTCATTGCTAAAAGCTTATCTAATGCTTCATCCAATGACGGCTCAGCGTGCGAAGTGTCACTAGGCTCTGGCTCATGCTTACAAGGGATTGGTAGACAAGTGAAAGCCATAGGAGAGGCATGTCTACCATTGTAGGGTGATGTTGAAGGAAGTGGTGCAGCAGGCAATGGAGAGGGCGTCTTTGAAGCCAAAGTGGGCGGAGTTAGGTTTTTAGATGGACTTGGACTTGAGTAATTCAAATCGTGACTAGAAATTGAGATCTTGTTCTCAGCAGCCAAAGGTGACACTCTTTCTATAGATGGACTTGACGACTTTGAAGATTTATGATCCAAAACTGTATTTACAGACGTCATTGAAGGCGTGGTAGCTGTAGTGTTGGAAGAGCTGGAGTTACTTCTCAGCAGATTTGAATTGGCCGTGGATTGAGAAAGCGCTAGAAGATGTTTTGTCTGGGATGAGAGCATTGCAGCGGACGCATCCATTGCATCTAAATCCAATTCGCTGGTAGCCGAAATGGAGGAGGTAGGACTAATAGGCCGCACTGGGCGATTCATCTGGGGTACGGACAGGTTGCCGTCTCTACCGTCTTCATCAATGTGAAGTTCAAAACCAGGAAACAAAGGAGAAGCACAGCTGGAAGTATGAGACAGATTTGGGAAAGGTGAAGATACTGGAGGATGAGGGGGGGAGCTGGAGCATGGTCCGATTGGGTCGAGCACAGAGCCCAAAGAACTGGGCTAGAAAGAAGGCAGAGAAAGAAAGAAATAAGACTGACTTAAGGAGTGGGACAGAAATGAGATGGTGGCAGATTTTGAGTGGGAAGTTATACCTTAAAATCAGACAAAGAAGCCATAAGTTCGTCCAGCTCTCTTGTAGCACAGGAGGCTGAGATCCGGGCTTGTTGCTGAGAGGGTGTGTCCAAATCACTGTGGCGAGAGGAGGGGCTGGAAGACATAAATTAAAACAGGGGTATATCATTATGGGTAATCACAGAAACCTTATTTAGATAGAAATGTGAACCGCCCTAGTACGTGGAGCAGCAGAAGAATATGAAGTTGATGGAATACAATCTCAAACTGGCATGGACACACAAGGTATCCATCAAAGTAACATTTTAGATATTACAATGGGTCCTAAGAAGTTTCTTCAAAAAGAAATACAGCAAATCGAATCATTCAAAAAGCCAATACTGTTTGTTTTTCTCCATACAATAAGAACTCAAAACATATACCGGTAATTGACATGTCATTTTAAATGTTGTGTGATTAATGACCCGTTTGGCATCTTATTTGCTATTTTAGTCCTTAGAACTCTGACGTCCCTATGAATTATTGTAATAACTCAATAGTCTACTTGCAAATTGATCAAAATCTAAAAAAAGGAATAATACAACAGAACTGAAGTTAAACTTGAGTTGATCTGCAAACATTATAGGAAATATAGTATGGTAAATAACAGGACTACAGTGCCTTGCAATAGTATTCACCCCCTTGGCCTTTTGTGTGTTTTGTTGCCTCACAACCTGGAATTAACATGGATTGTTTGAGGTTTTGCATCAGTTAATTTACAGAACATGCCCACAACTTTGAAGATGTTGTCTTTTTTTATTGTGAAGCAAACAACAAATAGGACAAAATAACAGAAAAGGTCAATGTGCATAACTATTCACCCCCCTAAAGTCAATACTTTGTAGAGCCACCTTTTGCGGCAATCACAGCTCCAAGTCGCTTTGGATAAGTCTCTATGAGCTTGCCACATCTTGAAATCAATTAATTTTCTCAATTCACTTCACCAACTTAGACTATTGTTTTCTGATCCATCACATGAAAGTCAGATTAACAAAACATTGAACTAAAGGCTGTAATGTAACAAAACAGGTAAAAAGCCATATATGGGAAGAATGGGTCTCTTAACAAGAAGTGGTGTACATAAGCAAATGCGTTTATACAATGATAAAATATTGTAAAAACCTCCTCCCTAAGGCCATAAGAGGAGTACAATATTAACTAGACTATTTTAGGGCCAATTATGGAGATGCTATATACGCAATATGAGGCCATTGGGAGAAGTGCGATAAAAGTTGCACTTGAGGGCCATGTAGGGAATGTGCAATTGTTTGGTGCAATGTTTTGAAGTGCTAAAGCCCATGTGGATGTTTATATGAAATTCCCCTTTTCTTTTGGTGAAGCTCCCTGTTCTATAAATGTGTATGTACTTGTGTTGTATTTGATTTGTAGTCACGAATAGATGAAGTCACGAGAATGTGGCACATTCTAACTAATGTGCCACAACTTCCGCGGTCTTTGGGCAGTTTCAAAATGGCCTCTGGGGCTGAAAAATGTGAAAAAACGCATCTGCGTATGCGTCAGCCGGCATGAGCCCCATTCATTTAATAAAGTAACTTCAAAAATTCACAGCGACTAAACTAAACTGGTCCAAGAAAATTCACTCCCTACAGCATTGACACACATGTGGAACGGAGCTTTGGGCCAAGAACAAACTTTTGCACCATCCTGTAAAGAGGTTTTCGAGGGGTAAGAAGATGCTATATGTTAGCATTGGCTAATTCTTATTCCGGGTCCACCCATTGGCCGGGGGTGGTATTGCAAGCATGTCAGTGCAGTCATTTTGGCCATTATGTATGGGACTTATTCATGTACCTCTGATGCCCAAGACAAAATGTTGCCATTACCAACCAATGAAGGCTTAACCCTCAAAAATTTTAATTCTTCAAATGATACTCCCTAGATAGACCCTTCCTCTTTTATGTTCCCTCTGTTGGTGCACGTTACCTGGGCGAGGGCACGGTCCCCTCCAGCTCATCCAGCAGACTCTCCACGGTGGGCCTGGTCTCCTCTTTGGCTCCGTTCCTGTTGGGTTTGTCCTGAGGCGGAGGACTGATCATGACCTCCGGGCTGCTGCCGTTCTCATAGTGAGTGACGCCGCAGGACGGTAACGGAGGAGCAGCTTCTTCTGTGGACACAAACCCCCAATTATATTAAATTATAGAGTAATTTCGAACCCTTAACAGAAACACTTAAATTGTACCAGTTACTTGTAATTACACAATCTGAACACTACAAAATGACTCATATAAAGTGAGTTAGTGCCTAATACTAATGATCTGGATTTAAGGAAATATAAAAAAATATTTTCCCATTTAAAATGCACTCGCATGTTTTTCTGATGAGATTTGAAGACTTTCTATACTTGTTCCATTAGCTAAATAGGCTCATATCAAGGTAAGTATGACTTACTTCCAGCACTTATAAACTGGTAGGCATTTACTCTAATAACAGTCTTGTGTTTGAATGGCCTGTGGTGCACCTGTGGTGGGGAAGGAGGGGGCGCTCTGCTGCACTGCGTTGAGCTCCAGCAGAAGTCGGTCGAGCTCCGACAGGTTACTGCCCAGAGCTGAGGTCATGGCTGCTGTGGAGGCGTCAGATGACTTCTGTTTGTTTGGAAAACTACACCAGACACAAATAGAGCAATGTCAGTTACACACAAAAAGACCAGACCTTCTCGTCAAAGCCTGATCGCTGATTGCTTCAGCAATAGCTGATCACCACTGAGTATTTATAGTTTATTGTTATTATAATAATTAACATAGTTTTATGCTCTACCTGTAAACGTGATCCTCTTCACCGTGAGACAGAGGGGAGCTGCTACTGTCCCGGGACCATGAGCTCTTCTGTGCTGAGCCTAAGGACTGAACATTACAGAGCACAAATTCATTACTTCATTTCTCCTAAGAGTGAAAAGCAATCCATGTTGTTGACAGTACCTGCTGTGACGAGTGGTCAGAGTCTGGGGGGTCGATCAGAGAACCATTTAAAGCATCATCTGAGGGAGGAGGTGGGACCGGTGGAGGAACTGACACATCCTGATAAGAGTGCCCTCCAGTCGGGATGGAGTAGGGAGTCTCGTCCGGGAGAAACACTGGCCGCTTCGAGATGTGTGAAGTGGTGGATTCCAGATCCGCCAGTAAAGCGTCTAAAAGAGAACATACACAAAATAGATTTAAAAGTAAAATAATACTATTAAGACGTGAAGATGGACAAAAGCTGCTCAGTGCGATATTCATGACAGGCTTTACTTTCATGAATTGTTTTTTACGGGAAGTTTAGCAGCTGGAAGGCGACAACAAGGCGAGTGAGAGGAGAAAGGCTATAAAAAGTCATGTCCGTAACAGTCTCATTCCAGTCTTTCACTACAACAGACAACACGGTCTTAAGTGAATCAAGCCAAACCATTGTCAAAACATCACTCATTGGACCTCATTGTTTTTTAAATCCCCCAATCAAGTACACAAACACATAATGTAGTAGAGCTATAACAATTAATAGATGACTAATTACTTCATTCATCATGAACTGCTCTTTATACAAACTTCAACACATTTATTTGTTGAGTGATATTATTTTTTGACCCAGACTGGGAGTCAAGAAAATCTATTAGAACTGCTTTACAACTAATCAATAATTACGATATTTCTTCCGATTAATCGATTGTAAAAATAATAGTTAAAGCATTAGACAATTGTTCTATTAGATGTATACCATTTGAATGCATGCTCTTAAAAATGAAAAATAATCAATATATACGCGTACAATGATAAAATATTCAGTTTAACCCTTTGATGTTCACTTCTCTTTTTTTTGATTTGAGATGTAGGAGCAAAGTTACGTTTTTATGTTGTTTTTTTAACCCCTAATTTTTTTCAATTGAAGGCCTTTACAAGAAGGTTGAGATACCATTTGATGGTGCCTAAAACCAAAAATGGTTGAGAAAACCATCAAAGGGTTAAAGGCTGAAGGCTGTGCATGTTCCCAATCACAAAATTCACATGATCCCAAAGTAGTTATTATCATCTCCAACCAGACAAACAAAGAGGAGAGTGAGGTCTCATCAGGGTTGAGGGGGTACAGTGTGACCCATTCGAGGCCGCAGAAACAAAATAGAGCCTTACATCACACAATCCATCCATCGTCAGGACTACCAGAATAGACTGCAATCACCAGTAGCGTACGGTTACACTACAGAGGCCCTGTGGCCCGTTTCAAGGAACCACCAAAACTCAGACACAAATCAATCAATAAAAGAAATATGAGCATTCAAACACGAGCCAAAGACTTGTCAGAGGTCAGCTTTTGTACTATCATTTTTAGTCAGTGAGATTTACACTACTGTTATGAAATATTGTGTCTGAAAGCTTCTTCATATGAGAAAATGATTCAGACATGATTTGATATTTTGATACAGTAATGATGATAATGGTGCTCCATTTTTTATTAAATTTCACATTTACTGTGTTTGAGTCGGTACAGTACATACCATTCAGTGCACAGCAGTGTATCACTAGAAGTAAAAAAACTAAAATTCTACTGCAAAAAATTTGAGACACCAAAGTAGAAGTTAATAACATGAATGTTTTTAAACAGACCAAGACTAGACCAAACATTTTAAGGATTCTATATTCACGATACTATATGCATATAAGTTAGACATTGTAATACACCCCAGTTTTAAGTTATAATGGAATCAAATATTCTGATCTAACACAGGAAAAGCCACTGGACTAATATTTAGGCACTTACATGATCCGCTCCTGGTGGTGCTCGGCTGGTGCTTGTCCCGGCGATGGGGTTATTATACTGTAAGTGTGAGGTAGACAGCCGAGCCCAAAGGACAGCGAGACCTGGATTACACACGCTGCAGGGGCGGGTTCTACGCACTGCTCTTAGATGAAGCTGCACATTTGTTGAAGGGTATTTTCATCTGTCTGGCATCCGCACAGTCAAGAGTCTAGCAATATCTGTCACAGTCCAGGGGTCATCAAATGAAGAACAATTGTTGCAAACATTTTATACTTGCAACAATAAGTACTAACATATGTTCCAAGAACTAGAAACCAGATATTTTGGAAATAAACTAGAGACTAGTCAGACTTGTACACGAGGTTTTTTTGACCCAAGCTAAAGAGAATGCAAAAAGAATGAGTTTCAATGGTTAACTCCTCCTAAGAGGCAGGATTGTTAAGATAGGATTGTAAACATTCTAAACCTCTCAAAAGAAAATATCCTCAGAATAAAAAGGACTTAACCTGCACACCAGGGCCTGCAATATTTTGGTGCCAAAGCAGTTAAAGATAGTACTTAGCAGATAACAGGAGGAGCAGTGATTCTGAAGTGTTTGGTTTGATTCATGATGAAGTGCGATGCAAGTGTTATGATACTACATTTCATTTTTATATCACAGCTATTATTTATGAATAATGATTTTTAGAATAAACTAACTATTAATTAAAACATGTATTATATTGTATTATTATCTAAACTATTTAGTATCTATATTCAATACAGTTTCAACACTTTTTAATACTTTTAACAACCCCTGTGACGCATAAATGAACGAACATTTTCTCTTTGTTTTCCTCATTTGTAGTTTTGGAGGTTTGGAGGTAGTTTTGGAGGTTTTACCTCCATGTGAAAGCCAATTATAACTCAGATGCTAAGCAGGACAGGGCCTGGTTAGTACTGTGATGGGAGACATATGGTAAAATCAGTGGGGCAGCTGAGGCTTTAAAGTGCCTAACTGTTGGTGTGTCCTTAGGCAGGACATCACCACCCATCAATGTGGGTGGTCAGAGGGAGCAACGGCACGTGGTTACAGTAGTTAATCACCACAAAGTGGAAGAATAATGCCATGTGGATGGTATTTGAGATTTTTTTTTTTTTTTTATAAAACCAATGGTTGATATTTCAACCACATTTATGGAAAAGCACATATCAAAGTCACAGATGATTGTGAAATGAAGGAATACAACAACAACCGTGTCCACACCAGGTGTAGTGTATTGCAGCTATAAAACAAGAATTTCTCACCAATTTGGGGGAAACAAAGTCATTGAAAAAAATTGTGGAAACGGCAGTGACAGTGGGATAAAATTAATCACGAAAGAAAACTTGAGATCAGTAAGGACTGGACTGTATGTTTAGAAATCAAAAAAACAAAATAGAAGAGCATGGGTTAAGTGTAAATTATACAACAGAATTCTAGTGGGTATTAATCAGACAGCGTGGAGGTCCAGGCTTAGAGCTAAACAGAGTCTATGTAGTTTGACATAAACCACAAGGGGTGTACAGGCCTATTTAAAGCCAGAGAAGCCGGTGTGTGTGCAAATGTGCTGAAATATCACGACCAGGCTCAAAATAATCTGCACCTGGTGTGGACATGCTAAACCAGGCCTTAGCGAGGGCCACTTTGTCACTAAAAAAACAATGACGGCTCACATCAATATACTGATGCAGGAAGCTGGTCAAAGAAAAATATTTTAATAGTGTAAGAAATTCTATGTGGATTTATACTACTCATGTAATACCTCATTAAAACTGTCAAAAACGACATTTAAAGTGAGGCTCTGGCTAATTAAGGAAATTAATTCCTCAAAAAATGTAAATGGCCTTGACAGAAATGATATCGTCAGTGCAGTCTAAGGCCTGGAAACCACATGGAGCCAAGTGTGAGCCAAGTTTAGAAGATTTTTTATAAAGTTCCCTCCTCCCACCTGCTGATACAACACATCTGTAGCCCCAGCACCACAGGGACCACAATTACAGTCAATGTTTAAAACCCAGCAAGAAAAAACAGCTACATCTTAACATGAAAAGATCAAGTGCTATTTACTTTCTTTTAAAGGGAAAAAAAGAGCCGTCACTGATATCCTGTTCCATGTTATTTTGTAAGTAGTGTCACTGGGTTTCTAGGAAGTAAGCCGCATTGAAAATACGCCACCTGCTGAGCCTATTTACTTCCTGAGATTATTGGCAAGTTATTTCAGTGACTAGATGCAAAAAAAAGAACCATCAGCATTTTCAGGATGACCCTGCAGAAGGCGATCAGTGCATCACTGCCTGTAAAAAGATAAACATATGGTAGATATTCAGATCTAGGAGGCGTTGGAACAGACAGATTCTCTTTGTCAAGTTCTCCCTCTGAAGAGTTAAAAACATTAAGACTGAGATTACGTACTGTACACCAAGTAATAGTATAATCTTTTCCACTAAATAGGGGGGAAGGAGTAGACAAAGTCCAATTCTCGTCCAGCCGCATCCTGAATCAATAGTCCATTGTATGAGGTCAAGGGGGAATAAAGCAGTCATCCAGACGGATCTGACTGGGACTAATAATTCAAGCCAGTAAACAGATTGCAGGGTGTCAGGGGAGCCGTCAGTGGCTGCACTGCGATAACTAATCTCCATAGTGGTGTTCTGTGGGTAGCGCAATGTGTGGATGGAGAGCACATTCTTGCAGCAGTGGGACTTGTACAGCCTTGTTGTGTGCAGCCCTCTGGTGCTGCTGCCACACTCTTTATCAGATGGGAGCGAAGGTGCGTGAGGAATTCTTCACATTCCTATGTCCACTGAGGAGAAAAAGCAATCAAGCGGCGCTCAGAGAAGGTGGTTTAGGGAGAGCTGAGCCCCGCCCCTTTCCAGTGAAACCACAGTCTTATCTTTACATGGCAACACAACAAAAGGCACAAAGTTAGTGATGCTTTACTATAAAACACTTTCTCCAATCTACAAAGTCAGAAATGTGTCCACAATTACAGACAAGTCTAAACGGCAGCGTGCTTTGAATTCTGGAAAAAGGAACATGTTACTGCCCATTTCTATCAGCAGTTCAGCACAGTACTATAAATTGTTTCTGATATCATATGGGAAAAGGTGATGGGCCACGGGGGTCTTCAGCTCACCTGTTTATAGCTCGGGTGGGCACTGCCCCAAAGAGAAACTTAACCCATTAGGCCAACGTCGAGAAGATATTTTTACCAAACAAGACAAGCAAAGGGCCAAGTGGTCAGCCAGACAAACAGCAACTGATGTTTTAAAAGGCCAGCCCTATGAAAGAATGCTGTGAAAATACAAGGCAGTATCACAATACTAAAGGTGCCAAATGATAACTTGAAGATTCTACACAATCACAATAGAATT